GACTGAGATCCTGAGCTCTTCAAAAGCCTGATCTTTTACTGGTTTTGTTAGAGAGAGAGAGAGTAAAGCACAGAGTCACTGTTAGAAGGGGACCCGCTTCAATGCAGTGGAACGTGGAACTCCATCAACTATTTTTATTGCCGACAGTTCACTTCAATGGCAAAGTAATGATGGGACCCTGTGCTTGACCTTTTGCTCTCTTTTCTCTCTTCTCTCTCTCTTGACTGGAACGATAACGTTCCAATTTCTTATTCCGCAAAAATGGAGATCGAAGTTTCTGATTTCTAGGAGCATACTGTCTATATATTCAAATATAATCCAAGGGCAAATTTTTGGGGGATTGTACACTTTAACATGATTTATCTTTAATACAAGGATGTCACAATTTGATTTTAGCCATGAGATGTTTAATTGGATGGTTTAGAGTGTGTCATGAAATTCAAAAAATAAATTTGTTGGGCTTTGAATTTAAGTCACAATTACATCTATAGTCATTGAAGTTTGATGGACAAAAATAATTATGACCTCGTTGTACTTAAAAATAAATTGTGTTTTTGTATATTTTTTGAAATTTAGGATACCAAAATTTGGGGATGTAAGATCTTCAATAAGTATACCGAGTCTAAAAAGAAAAATTCTAAATTGCATTCTCTATGCGCTTGAAAATAATAAAGGAAAGAAAAAAGCCTATATAAGGTTGTAACTTTAAAATGTAGAATTAAAGATGCACCACAAAAATCTATCGGACAAGGTTGTTTTAATGTTGAAAAACTGTTTAGTTGATCATCTCGACATCGAGATAAATGAATATAAAAAAAAAAAGAAAAAAAAAGTCACAGAATAGAGCATCTTGCAATATAATATCTAGACCGTCCATTTTCAAGATTTTCATAAGTATATAGATCTAATTGATTTCCATTGTTGGAGTTCAAAATTTTATAAATAAAAATGAAAATAGATTTTAAGATAGTTTTAAGAATTTTAAACACCAAAATTACAAGATAAAATTTGGAAGTGCGCCTTAATTATATTGTTTAGCAATTTAGCCTCTTGCAACGATTTTAACTCAACCCCGTTTTTCTATGGGTGTTTTAAAATTTAATCAAAAGCCACGGGTTAAGTGTGAAATTATTCATCTTTTGTTGGTAAGCTGATAAATTTCTCAAAAAAAAGTAAATGTCTAAAGGTCGAACCAAGACATTTTTTTGGGGTGAGATCTAAGTGTCGAGAAACTTAAGTCCTCTTTTGAAACTAATTGTCTAGTGATTTTTATGACGACCCGGTTAGCATGTGGGACAAGCCCGCATCTGTAGAAATACGAGCCTTTTAATAAATCCATTTTTGAGATGGATTTTTTAACTTAATTTTTAAAGACATGTAATCTCTAACATAGAGATCATGAATATGAAAAAATAAATAAATTTTAAAAACTAAAAATAATAATTTTAACATTTGGACCGTTAGTTTCAATTGTTCTTAGATCGACCACCTATTTGCATCTATCTTTAAGATGGGTGCGTTATACTTTTGGATTGTATATGTAGAAATGCAGTCCAGCCCACATAAAACAATTTCCCTTCTTATAAAGTTCCTAAATTGTTAGCCTTGAGGGAGTAGATAACAGTGTATGAGTATAAT